TTAAAATTTTGCTCATAAAACAATTGCAAAGCAAAATGTATTTGCGTCGTAGCTAGTGCGTAGCGGTCTACGAACGTCTACGAGAAATCGTAGATCGCAGTACTTACGTGAGTATAATTAGAATTGGCTTGCTTTCTTTCGTCATTTGAAGATAATAGCGATCGTTAATTTTTTTTTATACTTTTCCACGACCTTATAGTTGATTTTGTTACAGATAAAGGCCACAACGAGCAAACATTTGAAACTATGCCACAAAGTGCAGTCGCTGATCGCGCGCCGCGTGCAGCATTGCTTCCAGTCTATACTCACGCTTAGAGGGTACTCGGTAGGTTTTACTGCGCTCAGTATATGATACTTAGAGCGGTCGCACACGAACGATTCAGCGATTTATAGGACATTTTAGCCTGACTTAGTTGGAATGCACGAAATTATTGAATCAAAAATAATTAATAAGTAAAAATAAATTAGGGTCAATTGGAGATCGATTACGCGAATGAGTCGCTGCGTATAACGTGCGCTGGGCGTGGCGGGGGGGGGGCAGAGGGAGGGGCGCGGCGCGCCGCCTCCACCGCCTCGTTGTCGGGCGGCGAGCGCTCATATTCAACCGTCGCCTTCATCATGGCGCTCTGGGAATGCGTCGAGCTGCCTTTCTACTTCATGGATGAATTTGATGTTTTTATGGTTAGTAATAACATTCGGTCTTTCATTTTAAAGATTAAATAAAAAGTTAAATAAGCCATTTAAAAACATGGCATTATAAAGCCAGTTAAAAAAATGCCAACAGATAAATTTTATCAGTGTTGTGTGTTTGTTGCGTTGTGTAGGACAACGTGAACCGCAAGGTGGTGCTGGAGCTGCTGGTGGCGCACGCGCGGCGCAGCGCCGGCAGACAGTTCGTGTTCCTCACGCCGCAGGACGCCTCCGCCGTCACCGCCTCCTCCCACGTCACCATACACATGTACTTACACATTTACTACCAAAAATCATTTTATTTTTAAATATAATATTTATTCTGCAAATATTTTTTTTCTAATACAGTCAGGCCAGGGATAAAGATTTCTATCTCGCTGTCTCTGTGTTAATCAGTTTATTTTGTAGGCAATATATTCATTTTGTTTTTGTAGAAATTATTTCTATATATCTATATAATGATATTTCTCTATTATTTCTTTATAGGATGGCGGATCCTCGACCGTAGTACAAAGATGAAGAAACAATGTATTATTTGTTAACTCTTAAGAGTGTTATTTTATAAATATACAGCTGTAATTGTATAGATTAAATAAAAATCTTGAAATGAAGTCATCAACACAGTTTTATTTAATACAATAGAGACCCGTGGCGACATCGAGACATGTGATATAGTGTGGGTGCCACATCGCGCGAGCATCGAACCCGCGCTCTCGGGGCTGGCCGCGCTGCACCTATGAGATCACGCACTATACGGAATACAAATTAAATGTACAACTTATATATAATTAGTACTTGTTATATTAGCTTCAAATAAATTGATATAAAAATAACTTATACATCTACTAAGCGACCTATCTAAACAATAATGGTTATATTATTTTCTGATATATATAAAGTAACAAAATCCATTTCTAAGTCTTATTTATAAGGTGGGCGTACACCTTCACGTATAAGCGTAATCGTTCGACTTACATATATTTCAATTAACTACAACTTTTGAACTCATCGTGTCGCATTCGCAATACGATGTGACGTCAGAGTTCAATGAACTTACAACTACTACGATAAACTTTACAATTTTGTATAGAACATGTCCACCACACAACTAAACATTTTTCTAATGATAACTGCACATGTGATTTAGCGTTGATAAAAATGTTACACTGATTGTAATAAAGAATACATAAATGATAATAAAATAGTAAATAATGCAAGTACATAACATCCTTCTATATACTATTAGATACAAGCAAAATCATAAAATAATTGGGCAGTGAAATAGAAATATTTAAACAAACTAGAAGATTTTCCCAAAACATAAAAAACGAGACATGCAAATTATTGGTTTTCGAACCAATCAAAGTGTTTCTAATATTTTTAAAGAAAATTAGAAAATCAAGCAGCATATTATTTATATAATAAATAAGCTTATCTATATAGATTAAACAAATTTGACAAAGTTAATCAACACTAAATCACATCTGTAGTATATAAGTTATTCGATTCTTCTTAAGAACAAAGATCTCAATAACTTGTACATAACTTAAGTTTAAATTATAAAATATATTATATTATTGATATAGTTAAATACTATGTACTTACAATACATCACAAATAAACACAAGGATAACCGTTTAAACAAAAAAATAGTCATTCTTACTGGATCACTCGACTTGCGAAGGAAATAAATAAATATTACAAAAAAAATACAAGTATAGTGATTTTTATATTAAACGGTTTTAATCTCCTGATTGTACTTAACATGCATTAATTATGTACTTGTTTGGATTATAATTTTATTCCTTCTACGCCGTCCGACCGGCACTCTTTGGCTAAATAGAGCTTCGCAAATTTACCTTTAACTGATAGCTTATTGCTCGAAATTCGACAATAATTCATAAGTTAAAGATTTTTTATCTGTGTCAAATTTCACGTACATTAGTGCGAAATTTCTTTAAAAAGGTGTGCAAAGTTTTATTATTTAATATTAATATAGATGTTCACTAGAAAGTGACCATCTTGTCATTACATCTAGTAAATTATTTGAGGAACATTTACATGAAAGTTACACGCTACATACTTAGAACAAAAAAAAACTTGTCAAAGTTGAAATAAATTAATAAATACATTTACAACCTTCTGATTATGGCATTAAAGTGTCCGATTTGGAAATACAAAGGATTTTTTTTAATGTAAATGTGAAATATTTATAAATAATAGATTGTTCTATATTAAATTAACACGAAACTTATACGAGTAACAAAAGTATTTTACAATGAAGTTATTACAAAACTATACAGCACTAACACAACGATAAACGTGAGTTTACATCGCAGAAAACATTCACACATGTATCCATATCTTCCTCTCTCAATATAATCTGATAACATGTTTTACGTAAATATTTTGTGAGTGCAAACTCGCGATTCCTCAACCACACGTAAATCATGGAATGTTATAACATATGAACACACCCATATCATTTACAAATAACTTATTCTGTTACAATGAGTTTCCATTGTCGTGTAAACTGTATCACAACATTTCCATCTCTCTCTTTGCATAGAGATAATAATAGTAAAATGATATATAAACACGGCTAAACACTCACGTATATTCGTATAGTACTCGTATAGTGAGCGACGGGTCTTGTCCGCGAAATAATACCAGTACCACTCATCCTGATGAAGGCCACCCGATGGTCTCGAAACTAGTCGGTGCCGCCACCGGACGTATATACGTGAGTGTTTAGCCTTGTTTATATATCAGTTTAGTATAATGTCTCACGAAAGTTTGAATAATTTGATAATAATAGTTTTCGTAACGTGGTAGGGAAATTGAAACGGATTTGTCAATATGTGGTACATCAAACGGATGTTAAGATTTTTTCGATCTTGATGAAATTTTAACATGTGATTATAAAAAGCACATGCAAGTAGCAATACTAATTACATATTGTTGAAATGGTTTAAGAGTGATAAAAATGTTATCTGTCATTGATGGAAAATATTTTCAAATAAAGTAATACGAAACAAATCATTTTAAACCTAGACATGGCTATCTATAATTTTATTGCAATAATTTATAATGAAGCATCTTAAATAGAAAAATCATTGGTCACTATGGACTGCATACTAAATCATATTAGCATCATTAATCTGTCCCTTATTCGGCAAAGTATACTTCCATACATCTGAGGGTGTATCACGAATATTCGTAACATAATCGACAAAATTTGTAATATATGCAGCGCCCTTAAGCTCGCAAATATTCGTAATAGACTCTATGCTTTCATATCTGAATCCACCCCCTTCTTACACATCCTCTCACACAATCCATCCATACTTCCTTCAGTCTTTCTCTAATTTTTCAGCCATCTACATTCAAGCTTATTAGTTTTTTATGTAATCATAATATATTTGCATAATATATACAAAAACTATTTATAGTATCAATAAGTTAAATACGTTTATTGTAATTTTGGGTTTTGTAATCAAAACTTAGTGCCAGCCTAAGATTTTCTCTCAGTTAGAATTTTTTTAAATGATAATAACACATAAAAAATTTAGAAAAAATTAAATGGAGAGGATTTTAAGAAATATGATATTTGGATATTGTAATATGGAGAAAACAAAGAGTTTTTATAATATTTCATGCCGTTTTCTATGTTAGTTCAAAACATATTTTGTCAAAATTAAAAAAAAAATACTTAATATCAGCCTACACTTTTTTAACCGAAGATCGGCACAATTTATATTCGATACATCTCTTTTATCCGTTATGTTTGAATTCACTCCGTTTTAGCATATGCTAGGTATAAAATAGGATTATGCTATTTGAAGAGTATAAAGATATTGTTAGAATGCAGTGTTCTAAAACAATTTACATCTTTTCAAATTCCGAGAAAATGTAATTAATGTGAACACTTAATCTATGTTAATGTATTAGTACATTAATACAAGCTGAAATCATATTAGTTCACTCTTGCATGCATTGTTATTTTGATTTTCTCGGGATTTTGAATAGATATTACAGTGTATGCAGAAACGTAGTGTTTGTCTCGAGCGTCATAAGTATATGACGGAGAGAGGAGACAGTCGATGTTAGACCTTTGGACCGGCAACACGTGTCGGTACGTAACGACACAAATATAACACAACGAATACTACTGATAGCAACCAAAAATAGTGTAGTTATGTACTTTTCTTTGACTTTGTGTACTTATTACGATATGTATGTATTACATTACAAAAATATCAATTTAAAAAAAGGAGACAAACGTCTTAAGTTTGTACATTTAAATTACTGTACAAACATTTTCAATTTTGTCCTAACCTAAAACCATTTCAACATTTAAATATCTCACAACAAAACATATGTTTTCGTCCTATACTTTTGTCAGATCTTGACGTCGCAACTGAGGTACCGCGCTGTCAATCGACAGACTTTCCCTTGTTACAAATGAAACTCTAAATTTTGTAAACAATACATCGGAAAGTCCCAAAATGACTTTTGCATGTTTAAAAAATTTAGGCGTTCATTTGAAATGAGTTATAAAATATTTACAATAACAAGATATAAATACAAGGTGTGCAGTTCAGACTTCAGCGTGCAGCAAGTCAGACACGTGCCTAGTGGAGGGCGTGGCGGCGCTGGGCGTGCTCGGCGTCTTCTGATTGGACAGCGGCGGAGTGGGCGGGTACACCTGCTCCGTGCTCTGTGCTGCACTCTCCTCTCTACTGCTCGTCTGTTCTGATGCTTCCGGTTCATTCTCAGTTAACAGTTGGTACACTTTGTCCTGTGAAAAGAAATTTATATTTTAAGCATGTTTTCAACTTACGCCTTCTAATTGTGTTAAGGGTGGTCATAGTATTCCAAACAGATTTTTCATTGAAAAACTAATTTACAGTGAACATAATATAAGTAAATGCGTGTTGTGTTGCGTATACTAACAAACATATCGAGGGTGACGTTGTGGTGCTGTATGCGGTGGCTCTCGTCGCGGTTGAGGGCGGGGCAGAGCAGCTGCAGGCCGGCGGCGCGCTGCACGAACTCGCCGTCGCCGCCGCGCACCACGCTCGCCCCGCCCGCCGCGCGCACCACACCCACGAACGCGCTCAGCCACTCGTAGCACGCCGACACCGACTCCCAGCTGTAGCCTGCACACCACATTCAACTTATTATAACACAATCATATTATAGACATACCAAAGAACTTTAAATACATACCCATAGTTTGAAACAGAAAGCATATTAATACAAAAGTCAACGTACCCGACACCCTCATAGCGAGTTCCTTGTTGAAAGCGTGTGCCATCGCCGCGGCGGCCACTGTGCTGTATGCGAAGCGGTTAACATCAACATGCAGCACTGCGAGGTCGACCAGCTGTCCGCACACGACGAACTCGAGCGAGGAGTACTGCGGGAAGACGAAGGTGTAGCCGCGCAGAGCGTTCGCGGCCACGTCACTCTCGCCGATGAGCCGCCGTTTGGCACCTCGCGCCTCGCTCGCCACTTGCATGTACACGTTCAGCCATGCGTTGATGGTCAGCGGTGTGATGCTCCACGACAACACCTTCAGAATCAGCAGCTCCTCCAGCAGGATCTCCTCCGTCGTGCAGGCGCCGTCCGTCACGTACGCAAACTCGCTCACTTTGGGTGGGTACACCTCTTCCACTTTTGCCGCGATGAATAAACATGTTATACCTAAAAAAGGGAATGAAAATTACAAAAATTGCCACCTTAGATGTGGCGAGATGTGGGGAATCACAAGTTTTTGATGTAAATTTTAAAGTTATTACTATGACTGTTGTTTTTAACAAACTGATTATGACTAAGTTCAAATTAACCATTAACATCTTTCTATAAGCTTAGTCTACATTTTATGGACGGCAAACATATATCCAAATAAGCCTATAGGGAAATAGCAGACTTTTCATTTCAATTGAAATTTAAAAATGGCATTGGGGAGAAATTTCTTAAATGTGCATGGCGACAAAGTGAGTGCGATATCGCGCCGCGTGTATCAGTGCGTGATATCGCTCGATAAATGTTAATGAAATAAACAGGACTCAATTCTATCTTTATATCACTCGATATGAGATACTTTTGTATTGGTTACGTCATTATCTCCTATTCATTAATTTTCTTTTTTTAATTGATATAAATTTCATATTCCTTCTAAACAATTAACAATATTGTAAATGCCAATGTTTAGATAGATGCATGTTTGTTTGAAGATATCTCAAGAACGGCCGAATAGATCTCCATGAAATCTGGCAAATATATAGAACATAGTCTGAAAGAACACATAGGGTACTAATTATATTTTTAGTAAATTCCGCGCTGCCGGAGTCGCGGGCATCAGCCAGTATATAATATTTTCTTTCAAACTTTAAAGTCGTATAAGACGAAGTAGTTCGTTACTTATATCTTACCTATAAGCTGCAGCCGGCTCTTTGGCAGGTCGTCGGTGTGTGAGAGATACCGGTCGATGTAGTCCACCGTCAAGTGGAACGTCTCCCGGTGAAGCTTGTATACCTCGCACACCTGTAATGCACATACATTGTTATCCTCTTATTATTCCTACACCAGCAGTTCTCAAATTTTCTTGACTTCACTTTTGAGAAGCGAAATTTTTGACGTAACCCTAGATTCTAGGTTTAATTAGTCTTTGCCCTAGGGTTGTACTTTTCTCGCATCCTTCGTTCAGTTCGCGTCCTAACTCTGTTATTTGGAAAGTTTTATTATCTTTAGTAATCTGCCTTGGCTATTAACTATAGTCATAAAAAATTAACGTCTGACGCGTAAAAACGAAGTAGTCGAATACAATTATATTACATGGAATCATTTTAATTTGGTATTGACTAAATCTAATGGCGCTACGATGCGATCAGCCGGGAGACGGTGCGATGTACACTGGGTCGAGTAACGGGAACCCAAGCTGAATCCTTTTTAGGGCTCTTCTTATCTTTACCAAAAATAGCGACAATAATGGCCGATGTAATTGGTGTTGACAAATTTAATTCAAAGACTGATCTTAATAATAAGAAAATCGATTCGTATGTATATTTTTAAAATGTTATGTTAACTCCCGCGCTTTAATGTAATAAAGCGTAATGTGATGGCTCTAGCATAAAAGTTTTGTGCATTTAAATTTTCATATAAATATAAAAATTACAAGCAGTCTTTTGACAATGTTTTTTTTTTAAATACGAGTGGGTTAAGGCATGTGACAGATATAGGGACGAGACGTCAAGATCATACTCTACGTTTCTCTCTACCGTATGGGGGCACAAAAGGTCTACTAACGCATTCCATCTTATCTACCCCAACAAAATAAAGTTTACCAAAGATAATGCTCCTTTATTGGAATCTTCTAATCACATTCACATAAAGAAATTTGAAAAAATCTATCATGAAATTAATGTTTTGACAATTTTTATAATAAAAATATTTAAGGTGACTTAAAAATTTAACTATATTACTCCAAAAATAAATATAGACACTGGTTAGTTAAATACGTGGTTTTAACCATTTGACCGCCGGAGATTGATATTATAGAAGTATGGTTATAAAAGATTATGTACCCTTAAATGTATAATAAATCACCAAAATTGGTTCCTATATAAATACTTTGTGATTATTTGTCGAGATCGCATATCGGAAAGCTACGCATAATCGTATAAGTACGTCAATTTCATTAATTTAATATGTATAATGTCTAAACATCAGATCCGATAAAAGGGTTGAATAATTATTGACGCACTAAGTTTTTTTATGTATGGGTCTTAATTTCAATAACGATTTCTCACTTGATTTTGTGCCAGCTTCTTGAATTCTGTATGTACTCAGACTTCATTAATAACCAACATGAATATTTTTTTAGCATATTTTACATTGGATTTAATTATTTCTTTTTACATAAGATATGTAAAACGAGACGAATAGTTCGTTCACCTGATGGTAATTGATACGCCCTGCTCATAACAATGTGCTACGTGTTCTGCACGATTTTTATATGCAACAAACTAATTTAATAAGGTACAAAAAGCGATTTAGATGCAAAATATTCTTAGCTTTAGTCACAACATCCGTTATAATTTTGAACACAACTAATTGGGTTAATAGTCACTACGAAGTGTAGCCCACTTGTCTCTACTAGTCTGCCAGTAATTAAGGAACGCTGGTTTACACTATTCGGTTGTTATATTCTGGTGTTAACATGTATTACCTAATTTTTTTTTCTTAATTAAGTGAAATGGCATCCTAGAATTTTCCCCTACTATCTAGATAATTTCAATCATTCATTTAAATGTTAAAGGGCAGTCATTATGTGTCGTAATCAAACAATGGTAACGATACTATTACAAAGACTTAATGATAATTGTTCCTAACATATTAATAGATTACGCCAGTTTTTGAGCGAACTTGGATTCGCTATTTTAAAAAATGTACCCACGCGACGTCCGCAAATTACAAATATAACCATAGGTATATTCTCAGAATACTATAGATATAGAAAATTTCGCATTAGTTGCTAAGAAATAAAGATTCTATAATAAATTTTAATTATTTTTTACTTTTGCAATGAAAATAAAAGCGTACGACCTCAATCTTGTCTATGTTAGATGGCGATTTGATCAAAAGATGCAAACAAGAATAATTAGAAATATAAGCAATCATCACGATTTCTTGTCGTGAAGCGGAAATGAATAAAATTGCAACGTCTAATATTTTACAAATTAAATATTATCTACGTGATCAAAATTGGATCAACATAATAATTTGCTTTGTTCGTAACAAAGTACAATATGCAAAGCAGCCATCTTAGAGTAGAGCTACATAGTTTCCGTCCACAATAAGTACAATTTTAATGATAAAGATTATCTTCAACTTAACCAACTTTCTAACTTAATTAACTATTGGCATTAACTTGATTAGTTATATATATAGAGCGCTCAGCTTGCATTAATCTTACTAATATCAAAATGTGAATGTTTGGATGGATGTTTGTCACAAACTATCTCCGGAACTGCTCCTTGGAACTCGCTGTAATTTGGCATAGATGTAGAGCATAGTCTGGAAGAACACATAGGCTACTAATTAAGTTTTTTTAATTTCGCGCGGACGGTGTTACGACAGCTAGTATAGCTATAGTATCTTAACATAGTTCTTAAACTTTTTACAGACTTATCTCTTAACGACTTATACTGATATGTTAACGCATGACTGTAGGAAAGGATCTTGGGAAAAATAAATAAACGCAAGGCATTAGTTCTTAGTTAGACTTTATGTTATTCATCGAATCTCCCGTAATTTCTTACGTTAGATTATAGAAGACCACTGCACCTGTCACTTTTATTAATCGCGAAACAAGATTCTGCCTGAAATATTAGTAATACTAAAACTACAGAGGTTTTATGAAAAGAAATATTACTGAAATATAAATATTACTAAAGTACAAAGATTATACTATCTTTTTTTGCGGTTTACAATACGGATGTAATAACCACAATAGGATAACGATCAGATACATATACCCAGGAAAAGTTAATGCGTCAACGTTTAAAAATAACTTCTAGATGTTACAGTTACAACCTATTCATGGTAAAGATATACAAAAAAATACGGTACCTATTAGGTTATTAAGTTCATTTTTTACTACGACATTCGAAATTGAGTTGTGCCAAATTTATTTGAATCAATAAGACGTAGGAAAATCTCGACGACGGAGGCAGACAAGGTACCTAACTAGATGTTATGTAAAATACATATATACTAGTAATCTAAAATGTAAACGACGCTCAGAGAAAACAGCTTAAACACCTAATAGAATTAGGACACCTAAAGGTGGTTACTACATTTTACTAGTTAAAGATAAAATTTCGTTAACTTTCGGTTAAAACAGATGATTTATACCGAGCGTTTCCATTATGTAATATCCGAATGCGCGATGTTTGATCAATCCGAAAATGTTTAGTTAACAAATATGTAGATTAAAGTATATTAAATTATATACATTGCACCAAAATGGTTCTAGGTTCAAGGTCTTGTGATTACATTACGTTAAATCACTTATAACCTTGATAATATGCATTAACTTAGATATTACTTAGCTATACTATCACTATTAAAGAAATGACACAGCCTCTAAGTATAGTTTTTTGTCACTGAATCTACACTAAGGGACTAAGGAAGATTATTAGACGACGACGACAGTTAAGTCTTCTATTCAATAAGTTCGACAACGTTTTTATAGTTAGTCGAATTCGTCGTAAATAAAAATAGTTACGAATAGATGTATCATTGTTTAAAAAAAATGAATATTTGTAGTATTGATAAAACAAAATGCAACTATGAAATTAGAAAAATAATACAACAAAACGATAGATTAGAGTGCAAACTTGTTGGTTCTGAAGAGGTCAATGTACATTGCAAAAAAGAGGTCAATGATCCCAATGTTACTTCATAGACCCATATATACATGAAACACAATATTTTTTAAACGAACAAACTGCAATACTTACATCTCCTGCTTAAATCAGTTGTAAGCAGCATGAAAATAAATAGTTTGTATATAAATTTAATAACCATATTCATTAAATATTTAAGTTATAAACACAAACAGCAACTATACTAAAGACACTAATATTATATACTGCACAATCCTGAATTAAAAAAAAACATCTCTACGAACAAATTAAGCTTAATATGCTGCTTACCTCATTCAGCCAGTCAAGTAATATAGCTCGCATCCTCAGTTGTAAGTTAGGATGATTGTCAAACATGTTAGGATTTCTCCTCATGCTGGATCTGGCGTCTCCTTCACACATACTTTTCCACAGATCATTCTGGTCTGCCCAGTACAGTCCTGGTAAAGGACATTTTCTTTTTGGTGGAGTGGGGTACTGGTATTTACTTGTACTGCAAGTAAAATTACTTGGATGAAGGGTCTGTTACATAAGACTATTATAAAATTGATAACTCACAGATTTATAAGTGCTTATGTGTATGACCAATAAGAAACTTATATCCTAACTTACCTAGGCCTTTTGTTGGAGTGTGGTGTAGAGTCACCTCTAGCTACATTTTCTAAGGGGCTCAAAACATAATTAGGAAGCTCAGGTATACTCGGTGGGCTTAAAAAGGTATCTGGGTTATATTCTACATCTGTAAACACACTCCTGGGTTGCTCATTGTTTTCATAGTGAGACCCCTCATCATCACTAGAGCAAGATGAAGATTCAACAACTACATTGTGCGCTGGCAAGTCAGTATGCTCCTCTATTTTGGGAGATCTCTTGAGGGGTGGCATATTCTCCACCTCCTATAAAAGAAATTAATCATATTGATATCATTACTTCTGATTTCTAATTAGTGGATGAAAAACAAATAATTAGTGCACCTTACCTCATCATCTGATGAATTTCTCTTCCTCTTGAAGCATGGCCTATTTATATGTCCTTCACTGGAGCTACTGCAAAGATAATATCAAATGTAAACAAAGTCTACCAGGAACTTTTACTATCTGCTTTGGAACACATACATACCCCGTTTGAGCCATCGTAGAGGCGACAAATCAGCTGGCACGGGATCTATGCGGCCTAAAATATGTTCTAATTTAACAATTTATCAACAACATAATATATATCGCCAGAAAAACTACATTAATAGCTTAAATTACCGCATGTCATGTCGAAACCGCAAAATAGGGTTATGTCAGTTGACAAAATTAATCGAGGACAAATTTCCATTTTTTTCGGGGTTGTATAAAAATTCAGAGGTTTTAGAAGACTAAGATAGCAAAAAACATCAAAATAAAATGCATTAAGATGGCTATTTTGGCTTTCGAAAAGACAGCGTGCCCCCTGCTGGTTGGCGGGAGATTTTTTTTCGGAGTCATTTTAAAGCAATAGTAGGCGGAAAATGTGGTGAATTCCTAATTTTATTATCAGAGGAATATACTAATTATGCATTTAGATCATAAAACGACAAAAATATCTAAGTCAGCAGGTAAAATAAATGCCACGAATCCGTCACAATCGCGCGCGAAATCCTCCGTCACCGCCATTAGACACGTCGCAAGCTTGGGTTTCTCGCCCCATCCACTTTAGGAAATTGATATAAATAGCACATTTGCGATACTGTGATAATGTCATATACATCTTTTTTACAAATACTACATAAAATACCGAATTAAAGACTGTTTTACAGGGAATGTCGATGACAGCATAATTGGCAAAGCTTATCGTCGACTGCGGGTTTATAACCTAATTACGTGTAGATTTGATATTTTCTCATAGCTTTTTTCATATAAGAAGATACTGTATATTCTAAGCAACATAAGTAGTTACTTAGTACATACCTGGTCATTCACAAATTGATGCAAATTCTATGGATCAAAAATTCCTTGTTAATGAGAAATCAGTTCTCAATTTATATCACAATTGCACTATTTTTAACACTGTATTTCACAGCTATGATATTAAACGGATGAAAAACGAAGCAAAATACTGCACTTGGAGTAATTAACTGCATTTACATGCTTCTTTTCAGCTTTCCACGGCTCGATTACGCCCGGCTTTCCGCGCGAAAATGTCGCGGTAAAACGTCTAGTCTCTCTGGGTGATTAAATAGCTAACTTCACGATTGTTTCTTCTGAAAACGTTCGTCGTTATCAAATATATTCCTTTACACGACTTGAACACATACCTTTAGTTAAGTTAAAAACCTCTTTATTATTTCGTTTTAAAATAGATTTTTTGTTCTAATAAGCAATATAATTGTGTGCCGCTTAAGTGGGAATATGTCAGTAATATTGAATTAAAGGATAAGAAATAAAATTACTTTTTAAAATGCAATTTTGTGAATTTACGTAAAGTGCTTAGTAAAAATTTCATATGGAAAAATATTTTGATGAGAAAAAACAATAGAATCACTATTTTAAATAAAGGTTTGCAGTCTTTTAGCCAAAATAAAATAATCAGTACGTGACACAGAACGCGAAGTAAAAGGTATTTGCGACGATGTGATTGGGCAAATTCACGCAGTGGTGCCATAATTAAACGGCTTGATTTCGGTATTTTCGTTTGCATGTTGGATAAGCTTCATTAACTAACTTCACGTTACTGTACAGCTGGGCGACAGCTGATAGAAAACCTGCAAGAAAAGTCAATAAGACGCTATCTACGTTGATAACATATTTAGTACAACTCTTTCTTATATGTAACGAACAAGTGAAAAATTTATCTAATACCATGGCGCAACAAAATCTTGCTGTTAAATTATGTGGTGTTCTTCAATCTCAAAGTGAAGATGGTATGTCCCACATTGTTTTATATCATTTAGTATAATTACTGATTGATGACTTAAATAACGAAATTCATTTAATTACAGAGGTAACAGCTAGAGAATGGCGTTTAATAGGGCAAGAGCAAGACGGCTCTCAAGTTTTTACTTGGGTGTCTAACAGAAATGACAAAGAAATTATGAACATTGGTGTATACACCAACAACACAAAAACTTTAACTACACTACATACTTTCGATGAGAAATTGAATATAATACAGGCTTCAGTGAATTCCACGCGCAGCTTGCTTATTTATGTTATTAAAATTCTTCCCAAAGAAGGTGATGAGGTTCAAGAAGCTTTGTATTGCCCATACTTAATATCTTTGCTTCCTGATAAAACTAATGAGCCTGAGGAGGTAGAAGAGGGTTCAACCAGGCAAATTATGGTGCAGTATATATATGGCAAGAGCAAGAAATACAGCCCTGGTATCAGAAATGATAGATTTTTACTATTTAAGCATTTGGAATGTAAGTTTTTCGTTGACAATTTTGATAGCATAAAACCTAGTTATATTTTTAAATGAATTAAACATTTTTATCTTAGTAGAAAGGCTCATTAATATAGCTAATTATTATACAACAGCTTTTATTACTTGTGTCATTAAATTATTGGTTCCATGAAATGTAATATAACATGGGCAATCATTAAATTATCTGTAACTTAATGTTAAAATAGAATTTCTGAGTTTGACTCTAGCTATCTTATTTCAATTATGTATCTCCACTCCATAATTTTCTATCTCTTTCTCCCTTCTAGCCTATGTCTTTTTACCTTTTATTTAAAGTAGTGCATAAACAATGTTCACTATTATTTACTTATATCTTTTTTACCAAATTTGTTGAATGCTTAATGATTTGTTTTACGTATATTAATAATAAATTTTTATTATAATATGAGTGCTAATATTTAGAGGGATGGAGGAATGGTTGTTTGTACCTACAAAGATCCATGCAGCCCTTCTGCATACCTATGCAGAAGGGCTGCATGGATCTTGCTAAAATTTGGCGTAGATGTAGAATATAGTCTGGAAGAACATATAGGCTACTAATTCAGATTTTTTTTCGTAACGTGCGGTTCGGTTGCGGCGACAATTACTTCCTTATAAAGAGTTATAAAATTAAAAGTTGTGAGATCAGAAATAAATACAACTTGTTATTTTATCAGGCATCAAGATATACAGAACACCAATGTTTCTTAATGAATGCAATGATGGTAGTGAGAAGTGGGGCTTTGATGGCATCTATCCTGAACCAGAGACTATTGTGAAGGTATTCTCGTGGGCGCAATGGGATTGTGTCAATCAAGTAAGTAACAATGGTGGAATCAGGAAGCACTTTTACAATCTTTTCCAAGATATTTAGCTATTGCCTACATGTTCCCGTTATTGTTTTAGTTTGAAATTTAAACTGCAAAAATAAATTTACGCTATGTTAAATAAATTATAACTGCAATTTTATCTTTCATGTAAATTAAGTTTTGTTTTAATTTTAGCAGAAAAATGTGACTCATCTTCGATATACCGATATATGATGTCTTCTAGGTGTTGTTCTACATCCATTACCGGCAGCCACAGCAGAGTTTCGCTGAGGGGGAGGAGGTGAAGTCTCCCAGTGAGATGACACCCACTCTCTCCGCGCTGCAGTTCCATGCCGACCTACCTCATGAGACTGTGGTAAACTATTTTTATATTAAAATGGAATTAATAGCTTCTATTTACTCCTCTGAGTTACGGCTGTGAGTTGTTTCTGTTGTTATAAACACTATTTTATATTCAAGTAATCACTTTGGAGTTGAAAATGCTTTGGTAAAGAAAAAGACAACGCTTCTGGTATTGCAGATGTTCGTGGTTGATGAATGCCTCGGTGTTCCCTCTGTTCGTTTGCTAAATTCTCTTATAAAAAGAATGTATTTGAAATTTATATGAATAGTTATCTTATTAGTGTCCCAGTGGGGTTCTACCTTGTTCACTTTTTCTTCCACCGTTATTTTCTACATAAAGATTATGTTACATAAAGTTTTTACTCCAATTATAATATCCGTTTTAAATACAGACACTTTTCTTTTATATTTTTATTAATTAATGTGTTTTGTTAGCTGGTTTGAATCCCATTTTGTATTTGCGCAGATGTTTTACGTCACCAATTTCAGTTATCTATTACGTCCGAAAAGAAATATATATCTATACATAAGTAATTATGTATTTCAGCGAAGATAGTCTTGTTGGAAATCAATTTCTAATAACGTTAATTATACTTTAATATTAAAATGTACGAATGTTTTTAATATCAAATAATTCTATATTTTTATTGACAGAATGCATTATTGTTCGTAAGAACACTAGAACGATTTTAAAGTAACGTGTTGTGCTCAGCTGAACATCCCGCTGAGCCTGCCGCAGGGGGCGGGCGCGGGCGGCGGTGTGGGCGGGGCGGAGGGCGCGGCGTGCGGCTCCTACGAGGACGATGCGGTGCCGCTGCGCGTGCACGACTGCGGCCTCGACCTGCACATCGTGTGTGATGCACGCGGCCTCCTCTGTGTCTGCCATCATTACCTTTATAAGGTAATCCCAAACACTTACAATTTTTTTCTCTAATTTACTTTAAAAACCTACGAGTTAGTCATAGTTTTGGCGACATAAAAACAGTAATAACTTTATAAGATGACTTTCAAATAATTCCATCTTCTATCTCGTGTATTTCTGGTAGCCTCTTGATGATTCTACGACGTCTCTGGTGCTGGAGGACAGCGCGGAGCTGAAGGAGGGCGGCGTGAACTTCGCATACTCGGTGACACTGCTGCACCACGGCTGCGTCGTGCACAGCGTGCTGCCCGATTTGCCTTGGAACCTCGCCAAGTCCCTGCGACCTTCATACACGCTCTACGAAGGTATGTTCTGTATATTGAAGCATTGGCGTAACACTAATGAATTTGTCTTTTAAATATTCCATGCAGTTATTTTAATTTCGATAGTGACCGATAGATTCAACACAATTAGTTTACCTCTTTTGTTGGATGAATAGGATTATTTTTTTATATCATAATAACTCGTACGTGACAGATAACCATCTCCTCGTGCACATTCCAATGCTGTTTACTCACTTGATTGACGTGAGCCTACACCACGAGCCTTGCGCCCACATCGTGATCCCGGTGGAGGCGAGCGAAAGTGGGCCCAGCCTCGCGCCATTGCTGGGCTGGGGCGCCCATACCATGGTCGATATGAATACTCTGGACGTCGTCACCATGCACGTGGCGGAGAAAGACCTCGCTACAACATTTAAGACTACGCCCATTGAGAACAAACTGGCCATCATTCACTACTTGATACAACATGAGGGGAATCTGGACTTGGCTGAGGAAGTACGTTGAATTCGTTTTGTTAATATAACTAACACTCTTTTTTACTATTCTAATCTAGGTCAAAAATGTCCTAGGTAATGGATAAAAAGAAATTGGCCCCTTAAGATGGCAATATTTCTGAAATTCAAAACGACAAAAAATTGTTCTAATACTTTCATAAAGTTATGCAAGATTTTACAGTTTTTTTTTCAAATGTGTGTTGTGGGTATAAATGGTAAGACTTGATCCTTGTTGCAGCTGATGTCGTGGGTGTGCGTGAACCAGGGGGCGGGTCTGTGTGGTGCGGGGGCGGGTGTGGGCGGGCTGCAGCGGCTCATGCAGGAGTACCTGGTGGCGCACACGTACGCCAGCACGCGCCGCGCCCTGCCCGCCGCCGCCCTCACACTGCTGCCCATGCTGCCCTTCACGCTGCATCTCAAGTTCACAGACATCAAGGTGAGTCAAACATATGTTTAAAATTGTGATACATCTTGTAGTAAAATGATCTTTTATTCTAGATAAAGCGGTCTAAGGATCTGTAACTCGTGTCATCTGTATATGTTGATATTTGTATAAAATGAATTAACATCATTATCAACAGTTATAAACCTAATAGTTTTATAATTTACAAGTGTCTCGTTAAATACAATAAATTATCATAAATTTAATGGTGAATTATATAATTTGTGTCAGGTCGGGGAGACGCAGGTGCTGGTGAGCCAGGAGAAGGTGTGGCACAGCGCGGCGGTGGTGCTGTCTCCGCGGCAGCGCGTGTGCCAGTTCGCGGAGGACACGTGGACGCGGCTGTGGGGCGCGCTGACCGCCGCGCCGCGCCCGCGCCTGCGCCCCGCCGACGTGCTCGACAGGCTGCGCGTCTCACTGCACTGCTATCAGGTCTACACTTCCCACTACTGT